TTCGGACGGCTCGTATCATATCGGACTCCAGTGTATTAACGCACCTGAGCATCTTTCCTCTCTCTCTCACGTATACTCGTTTTATCTCTCAATCTTCCCTATCCTTCGGGATTTATCGTATAAGTATATATACATATATAATATCTCGGATTGATTATGGGAGGTGATAAACGAAAATATGTTTCTCTGTGAACAGTCAACCCGAGATATTATAAAACGACAATTAACGTTTATTATTCACACTGTTAAATTTTATTTCTATTAAATTATGAATCTTCTTCTAGCTCTCGTGTTGCTATTCTCTTCTATATTATATTTCGTACTGCCCGTTTCTCTTCCAAATATTAACGACTCAATTTGTAGGTAAGAAAAGAAATTGTAAATAATAAAGGACAATGGAAGGATGGGCTATGAGACGCGCGGCAAATCTACCTGAAGAAAGTATACTTTCTTTACACATATATATAAGATTCTCTAAAAATTCATCAAATGGTTAAATTATTTTCGTCTTTCCGACAACCTATAAGTGCGCTTACCGCTTATTATTTCAACTGTTTTCTATCGTGCGTTACATGAAACGCATTGTTAAAGTATCATATATTCCATGTTATTTTTAAAACTAATTTACAATCAGATACCTATATATATACATGGTTTTAAAAGTAATGCGTTCAAATACTCAAGAAATATTCTATCGAGATCATTTTTTTTAATTTTTTTTTCAATTGGAAAATACAAAAGAGAAGAAAAGATGGAGGATTCGAAATTTCAGATTAAAAATTATAGATAAAGAAAAAGAGTATGTGTAATAAAATTAAAATATTTTAAACCATTTGACTTAGTTAAATCGGGACATTCTATGTCTTTCGATTAAAATTTGAAGTACTGGATATCGTTGATACTTTTCATCTGTTCCATTGGATTCAAAGATGTTAATCAATTCCTTTTGAAATTTTAGCCGGTTACTCTAATCGTATCTCTCCTTTAATTTTAATCCAGATAAAACCTATTTCTCTTCTAATCAATTCTATTTGTTTTGCAACGATATTTTTTCTATGTAATCGAACACTAATGTCCATCGATATTTCACTCACGAAAGCGAGAAATTCGAGAAAACAAGTCTACAGGTTTGTATAAATTCCGATCGATGTGAATGTGAACACTGAAAAGTATAATTATCGATATTAGTTAATTTCTTTGATAAAGTTTCTATTCTAATGAAAATTACGCCAATGTTCCTTCTTTTTCTTCTTTTTTGTTTTCATATAAAAGAGAAGAGAGAGAGAGAGAGAGAGAGAGAGAGAGAGAGAGAGAGAGAGAGAGAAGAGGTCGGTTTTAGTAATAACGGTTTGTTAATCCAAATGTTATTTAGTATCAGAATAGAACGGATATATTATTCAGGTAGTGAAAACGGCTTAATGTCGCTTGCCTGATGGTCGTTATATCGCGTCAATATTTTCTATCCGTCATATGAAGAAAGAGGGAGAAGGATTATCGACTATCAGTTTACATGTCTATCTAAAAACCTCTTGTCTCTCTCTCACTCCCCTCTTTCTTTCTATCGCTCTCTCTTTGTCTTTTTCTTCTTCTCTCTCATACATTCTTTTCACTCATTTCCTATTTCTCCTCAACGAAACAATACTTGGGATTGTTGATTATTTTTCTTTTCTCTTTTTTGCTACCATGTCTGTGTTTATGTATATAATATACAAATATATATATAATATCTCGGATTGCTTTTGGGAGGTGATTAACGAAAATATGTTTCTCTGTGAACAAAGTGATAAATCTTTATTTGTTAATTAATGCATAGTTTCTAATTAGTCTTAACTGTGAACAAAGAAACGATAATTTACGTTTATTATTCACACTGTTAAATTTTATTTCTTTTATCTTATGTATCTTCTTCTAGCTCTCGTGTTGCTTTTCTCTTCTATGTTATATTTCATACTGCCCGTTTCTCTTCCAAATTTTAACAACTCGATTTGTAGGTCACAAAAGAAATTGTAAATAATAAAGGACAATGGAAGGGCGGGCTATGAGACGCGCGGCAAATCTACCTGAAGAAAGTACACTTTCTTTACATATATATTATATATGCCCTTCATTTTTCTTCTTTCTCTCTTCGGTAAAGATTAATTAATTCCTTTTCGGTCTTTATCCTATTCGTTATTTCGTTATCCGTGCACTTCCATGTCACTTACACACTCTGGATTTTAGCCTCTTCTCTTCCTTCCATAAACGAATGAACCCCACGAAGGACAGATTATGCGTCTGTCAATTATTTTTCATATCTTCTAAATCGACTCGTCATTCCGATCTTGTCATGAAAAATAGACGAATTTAAAATGAAACTATTGAGCAAATTGTGTAATGAATTACCAACCGAAAATACAGTAACTAATCTAAAAACATTAATAATATAAGGAAAACAATGATTGAATATATAATTAATGACGCTCTTACAATTATTCAGCTTTGAAAATTCAACATGGTTTCTGTTGCCCAGTCACGATTGAAATTACCTACATAATATGCATAACAATCTGTATAACATCACTCAATAAATTTCCGGTCTAGCTAGGAAAAATAAATTCTTTTTTAGATATTCTACTTTATTCATCAACATATTCTCCTTCAAGAGTGATACATTCATTTCAACACTCCTCTTACTTTTCGATGCTTTTTTTTAGAACGATTTGTCTTTGCTCTCAAAATAGGTTTCAGTTTTGGCAATAACTTCTACAATTGAGCTAGATGTGTAGTTGTGGATTCATGCTTCATCCATTGTCACATACCGACCCAAGAAATCTTTTTTATCTCGCGTAAACGACTCTAAACTGCGCTCTGAATCCTCGACGCGTTGTTATTTTTGTTCCGGTGTGAGAAACGCGGCACCAACTTCGAAAGCAACTTACACATGCTCAAATTTTCTTATAAAATTGTAAACACACTACATTCTGATATTTTTAAGGTATCAGTTATAACATGCAACGCCACTTTACGGCCTTTCAAAACTATTTTGTGGACTTTTCTTATGTTTTCTTCTATCTATTGTTTTGAAAATTACAAAACTGGGCTCACTAAAACCACTATAACTTGTAAAGTAATTATCAGAATGTCACGAAATTTTGACATGTATCATTTGAAGGATGAAAAATCATACGAGTACTGTCAACAATATTGATATATTATTTTAAATGTATATATTTATATGTATGTATTTCAATATATAATATTTATATATATATTCATGATAGAAAAAGACATGATATAAAGTTGATCCCTTTCAATCACCCTTTAATTAAGCGATCAGAAACACTCTGTTCCTATATTATAAGTTCATATATTCAATATATTCAAGCGTATATTTATTGAAATAAATAAATACATATATAAAATTATATATCAAAAAGTTTCTATTATGTTAAAATTATACATATTAAATAACGAATCATAATACTTTCTGTTCACTCAATATCTATCAAAAAAAAAGGCTAGAAGAGTAGATTGACACAGAGGAGTTTATGTTACGGTATAGAAAAGTTGTGAACATAGTAAGAGGGCTAATTTAAGAAAAGAATGAATAAAAGAATATAAAAAAGAAAGAAAAAGGTATGCAAACATCATTTAATATCATAGCTAAATATGTGAAGTTGAACTTAAAAGAAATGTAAAGTATGCTGCTTCTTATAACTTTTATCGGCATACCTATCTTCTCTCTCTCTCTCCCTCTCATCCTCTTCCGCTCTTCCTATGAATAGATGAACAAACTATCTTTTAATAAGAAACAAAAAAGTCTTCGTAGCAAAATATATGATAGATGAAATATATCAATATGTTGTTAAGATTGGAAGGAGACGATTTAAATATTTATTTTTACTATTTATTTATATTCTTTCTCTATCTCTCTTTTCCTCTTTCTCTCTCTCTTATTTTTTTTATATATATATTTGTTTCCAAATAAATTTTTATAATTAATTGATTTTCTCAATTGAGTTTTATATTGATTGATGTAATATTAAGATATTGATATTTAGAACAATGATAATAGAGAAAAAACAGAAAAAGAGAGAGAGAGAAAGAATAATATGTAGCGATCTTTATTAAAAAATTTCAATTTGTTCGTACAATTTTTTTGTATGAATTACTTTTCGAAGATATTTACTTTATAATGAGTGAATTCACGACGATATAAGATAAAGATAAAGATCTATAATATGATGATGATATTCGATAACAGAATGTTATAAACGAAATTTGTTAGACAATTTGGATAGAATGAAGACAACAAAAAAATGGTATTAAGAATCCCATTACTTTGATTTACCGCAATAAAATAAATTCATTTTTCGGAAAATGAATCGAGGATCTTGATCTCCATCGTTTCAGTCGATACCTATTTACGCATAAATCAATATTATAATTACAAACAAAAATAATAATAATCTATTTATTCGCCTTCTGTTATAATTAATTGACTTGACTTAACAATAATATATAAATGAAAGTTTCTATTTAATTTTATTGTAATAATTACTAAATTTATTATCATTGTAGATAACAAAAGAATTTGTAAATAACAAAGGACAATGGAAGGACGGGCCATGAGAAGCGCGGCAAATCTACCTGAAGAAAGTATACTTTCTTTACATATATATATATGTGTATATATATTTATATACAGAAAAGAGGAAGGGAGAGAATCGTCGGTTCAATTTGGAGAGTTAGTAACTTTGAAATTAGTAAAACCATATACGGGACATGTGAGAAATACTGACAACTTTTTTACAAGCTTGTCAATACCGAGTAAACTTCAAACAAAAAAAACTACGCATGTTGGAACTATTCGCAGAAAAAAAAGGAAGCTACCAAATTTAGCGAGACAAGCAAAAGGATAGTGAGACACGCTTCTCAACATTATTATAAAAATCGAATAAGATTTTATTCTTACAATTTAAAAAACTAAAAATAATAAAAAAGTATTGACACTTAGTTCAATGTATTTATTCGTTGAAATTGAGATAAGTGACATCCGTATACCAGAGATAATTAGATTTTACAATAGCACAAAATTCAGTGTAGATGTAACCGATCAAATAGCCAGAAAATATTGTGTAAAATCTAAATGTCAAAAATGTCCTGTACAGGTATTTTTCAGTATCTTAGATTTAGCCGAGATAAATGCCTGGATTTTATACGAAGAAACGACGGATGGAGGAATATCCAGGCAAGAATTTTTATTTCAATTGGCAGAAGAGCTTGGGACCGAATATCCGAAGGAGAGACAGCTAAGCAAAGAATGTTCATCAAATACAGCTACAAATTCATCTGGATGGAAAGTTTGTCAAATAAGATATTGTAAAGTCAATAAGACTAACAAAATCTGTATAAAATGTAAAAAATGCTTATGCGAAAAATGTGCGATACAAAATACTGTAATTTGTAAAAAATGTGTTGAAAATGCATAAGTGTAAATAAAACTTTTCTAAATAGAAAAAGAATATTTTATTTACTATCCAATTGACTAAAATCTTTTTCTATATTTAGATAAATATTTTTTTTGAAGCAGTCATTTGACCGCTCAGAGTAGGATTTGGTATACATGAAATGTCAGTAGATTTAGTGTTAAGTGGACTCCTGAAGAGGAAATCATAACAAAATATCGCTGGGAGAAAAATCACATAGGTAATGTGGAAACGAATTAGTGTTTTGATTTTTATTAAAAATAATATATAATGTATATACCTGCTTATTATTCATTTTGAAAAAATAATCGACAAATGTACATACTTTATATGCATTTGTCATAGAACAAAATTGTACTACTGCTATATCTTATCTAGCACAGCCACATGTGGAGAAAATAAATATGAGATGGGATAGTAAAATCTTACTAAATTATCATATAAAAAAAAAAAGAATAAATTAATTCATTATATTTGTTTACTTTGATACAATAAAACAAAATCATTGGAATCAACTAGCCTCGAATACCTACGATTCTTGAATTACCAATCCAGATACTTGCAAATGTGCTATAAATTGCAGAACCTCCAGTGTTTTAATGTATAAAGTACTTAATTATTTTTGTCATAGAATCATGTGCCCAAAGTTCATTAAAATGACCGAGAAAGTTACTTCTCCGTGCGAGCTTCGAGAAATGTATTTCTTTGCGTTTGGAAATATTCAGAAAATCTGAGCATCAGCTATTTACGCACACAAAAAAGCGGGCAATCGTGATTTCACAAACATAAAACACATGCCATCCAATCCTGTATAATATTAAAATCAATACTGAAGATTCTCTTTCGTCTCTAATTTCGAAGAGCTTCATAGTACAAAAGTATTTCTTCGCGAAAAATGTCGGAAACAGCATTTACGTTATCGATGAGAATAATAGGAATTCTTGACCAATTCTAATTAGCAAGATCTCATTTTAAAAAAGAAGGTTCAATCTCGGAATAATTTTTCGAATTTTTAAAAAAGCTTTTTATTTTATATAAACTATTCTACATAAAAAATACCATTATTTAAAACGATTTTTTTCAAAGAAAATAAAGCGTTTCTAAAAATTTGATGAAGATATGTCCTAGACGAAATTTTCGTATTTAAAATGAGGCTTTGATCGTCAAAATCGGTCGAGAATTACGTCTGTTCTCATTGACAACGTAAATCATTATAAAACCAGAGGAAATAAGTAGTCTTAACGTGCTTTGATGTGCGATTTGCTCCTGCAGCAAAACATACGAATTCAAAGAACCAGTTTTAAAGAGACTAATTACTGAAGATCAAACGTGGATTCTCTGCGAGAATATTAACGTAAGTATATTAAAGAATATTAAAAACGTTTAGTAACGCTCGTTAATCATAAAATAATTTTATTTAATATTCCAATACGGTTAAATTTTGAACACGGAGTAGTTGATTATTTACAATGACTTCACTATTATCAAAATAACCTTCTTTTGGGTTCTGACACGTAAACATCGAAGATCTATCTTTCTGAACGTCTAAAATTAAAACATTAATACTTTCGCGAATTTTGTAGTTATTTAAAAAATATATAATTTACATAGAGTACAATATGTTAATATTTAATCGATGACGCATTTATTTGAACAATTTAAAGCTCTAAACTCAATACGCAAAACTTAAAATAATCTCAATTTAAATTTTCAATACTTGAAAATTTTGCAATGATTGACGACTTAAAATGTAAACATAATTGATTGCCCTTGATGCTTGCTGGGTCAGCATCCTTTTGAATTTCGATAATTATACAGCGAAACATTCTTTCTTATTAGATTTTCAAAAAAAGTTAATCAAATTTTTAATCAATTTTGTTGGTCAAATAAAGTGATAGAGAGAGATAAAGAAAATATGTTGAGGTTTAAATAATTTCAAGTAGTTCTTACAATTCTTTCATATAAATTTCTTTTCGAAAATATTTATTTTATGAGTGACAGCAACATATGATAAAGATAAAGATTTTTAATATGATGATACTCAATAAAAGAAAGTTATAAACGAAATATGCTAATCAATTTGGATAGAATGAAGATTAAAAATAATGGTATTAAAGATCCCTTTGAAATACCGCAATAAAATAAATTCATTTTGTGAGAAAAAAACGAGAATCTTGATCTCTATCATTCCAGTTGATACCTATCTGCATATACATTAATATTATAATTACGAAAAAAATTACTTCGTATCGTCATTCATTTACACTATTTGGATTAAACAAGTAATTAATTATTATGATATTCATGTATTTTCATTTACTTACATTAAACAAATAACTAATTGCTGTGAGTTTTATAATTATAATCATTTTTCATTTTTTATATAATATTTTATGCTTTTCTTTACAAAATATCAATTATTTAAATTAAATGTAATCAAATGAATTATAGAGGGGGCGATGAGGTTGGATAAAGCTCGGATATATCAGTAGATAATATGATAGAAAAATGGACCAAATAAAGTACACTAATTTTCGATACTCTTTTTCCCGTCTCTGTTAATTATCTCACAGAGACACAGAACTTCCATTGAACCACTCCCAAACAGACCTGCCTACTCTCTCTTTCTTTCTCTCTTACATGGCCAGTTGGTATGCTCCTACTTGAACATACGGCATGTAGGTGCAAGGGTGCCAATGCACATTGAAATAATTCACCATGTTTTAAATTAAAAATAATATCTAAACCAACAGTTTTAAGAGGTAACGTTATTAACGTATTTTATATAAGGTAAAAAATTGCATCAATCTGTGTATTCAAAATTAGAGTTTTATTAAACAGAAATTGTAATTGCACTTTGTTACGACATCGATACACAAAAATGTATAAAAGTTTAATAGAAATATGTAGTATTTAATACAATTTAATTTTATTCACTATCTTTTGCTCGAAGCGTGCGTAACTTCAGCGACATGTACAGACAAAATATGGATTACAAATACAAGCGAGGAACGATATCCCAATCATGGATCTATCTTATCGACGTATAAGCTTGTTTAGTTCTTCCCCTCTCACACATACATAACAATTGGTATCCCGTGGGTCAGTGTAAGTAGCTTAGTAGACTGTAAACACACATTTTTCAGTTTATCATATGTATATCTTCCTTTGATAGTGCGTGCGTCATGCAGGGGCCCGACCTAGATACGCATTTGTTGCTCGATAAATGTACAAAAAGTAATAAATATAATTGACGAATATAGAGAATGATATATATATTTGCGACAAAAAATAAGAATTTTTCTAATATTTTCTTAAAAATAATAAGTGAATACTTATATTTTATATTATTTTAATACAAATCTACGTTAATTAAATAAAATATAAATTCATTTCCACACTACTTATGAGGTAGAACTTTCAGTGCTTTTCTTTACATGATTTCTCCTGTATGAGTAATCCATTCTATATTACTTCTACTATTATTTCTACTTTAATTCCTGATAATAATAATATAACAATAATAATAAAAATATAATATAATAATATATTGTCTTCAAAAATTATTTATATACATCCAAATATTATTTAATACATTTTATACTACAATTGTAAAGACAATTATCTTCGATTAATCGAAAGAAACCAGATGGAGCAAATGCATAACCATCATAAAGTAGTTACACAAGAAGAATCGATAGCGGACAAAAACAAAAGAAACGTTTTGTATTTTTCTTCGTATGACATTTGTATTAGATGGACGGTCATGTGTCGAAATTATCAAGAACACGATTTGTTGAGAATTCGCGCATCAAACCAACATTTAAAATGATACATTTTTCCTTCTGTTGTTATCATAAGTTACCGTCATCATTTGTGTCACGATGTATTCAATATAAATACATTCTTTTGTTTCTTCTTATTATTACTATTTTCATTACTATATTATTTCATTACACATTATTATGGTAATAATAGTAGGAATAATAATGATATGAAGTTAACTCTTATAGAGGAAATCATAACAAAACAACGCTGGGAGAAAAATTTCATAGAAAATGTGAAAACGAATTTATCTTTTGATCTTTATTAAAAATAAAATATAATGTATATATTCCGTAATTATTAATTTTGAAAAATTAATCAACAATATATATATATATATATATATATATATATATATATCATATGCATTTATCATCGAAAAAAATTATACTACTGCTGTGTCCTATCTAGAACAGATTACCGCAAATTCACTTCAGCCATCAGTGGAGGAAATAAATATAAGAGATTGGATAGAAACACATTAGTAAATTATCAACTAAGGAGAAAAGAGTAAATCAGTTCGTTATTTTCGTTTACATCGATACAATAAAAAAAAACCACCAGATTATTATAAGCTCCAAACATGCTTGAATTATGAATCTAGACACATGCCAAAGGACTTGCATTGCTAATAGAATCTTTATCTTCTTAGTTAATAAAATCTAAAGAAACTATAAATTTTCCACAAATTTAATAACAATTTAGAATCTCATATTTCTTGGCATAAAAGATAGAACATGTATTTTTTTATTGTTGCCATAGAATCATCTGGACTAGGCTCATTAAAATATTCGAATGATTCACCGTAACTTCTTCTGAAACCGTACTTCTTTGCGTTTGGAAATATTCAAAAAATCTGAGCATCAGCTATTTTCTTACACAACCAAGCACGCAATAGCATTTTCACGGATATAAACATACACTATTCAAGCGTTTATATGAAAATCTGTAGTGGGTGTACGAGCTTTATCTCTTTTGTAACAATTTTCGAGAGACATCGCAGTATTAAACTTTTCCTTCGCAAAAAATGTCTAAAAGAAAATCAATGAGAATAGAAGTAATTCATGACTAATTTTGATGAACAAGATTTCATATTAAAGATAAAAGTTTAATTTACAGTGTATTGGCTTCAAATTTTTATAAAAAGTATTTATTTGTGGATATTAATTTCGAAAAATATCACTTTTTAACACGATATTTTTTTGAAGAAAAAGCATTTTTCAAATATTTGATATCAATACGCTGTATATTAAACCTTCGTTTTTAAAATGCGAGCTTGTTCATTAAAATTAGTCAAAAATTATTTTATAATATTTTTATGGCGTAATCCATTAAAAAACCAGGGGTAATGAACAGAATTGAGCAAAGTAAGACTAATTAAAGGTCGACGAAGAATAATAAATGTTAAATTCTCTTCAAATGCGGCAAACGGTAGAGTGGTTGAGGAAACGGGGGAACTAGGAGATAGGAGGTGGATTAGTTGATTGGTGGGCTCTATAACAGATAGGAAGGAAAAAGAGGTAACAAAAAAGGCATCAGAAAGAACTTTCAACATATTCTCTTTCTCTCTCTCTCAAATCAAATGAAATAAAAAATCGATTGGAAGTTCTTCGCGATTGCACGCACGTGGAAAGAATCAGCGAACTCGTTTTCTTCGATCAAAAGTGAAATATTAAGTATGAAAGAGAGATAGATAGATATAAGGAGAAAGAGAGCAAATGAGTCAGTGAGTAAGTAATAAAAAGGGAAAGGAAGGGAAAGTCTGTTGAATCCTCGAGAGAATTCTGCTATCGTATGAATTGCTTGGATATTCACGCGTTCGCTGTGTAATCGGATTACTACATAATCATAGTTGACAAAAATAATTCGACTAAAAGCCCGGGAAACTATTTAATTATTCGCTTTCTTGCTATTGTTTCTCTTTATTCTTCTTCTTCTTGTTCTATTTTCTATTGGAAGATTGTTGTTTTTCTTTTTTTTGCTTTCTTGTCTTTTATTCGTCTCGTTCCATTGCCGTACGAATAATCATTCTGTCGAACGTAAAGATGGAACGATGCTTTTCAATTTTCTATCGTATATTAATACATCTCCATAAATATATATACCCATGTATATAATATCTACCTTTGATTTATCAATTGAATACGTTTGTATAAATATTTCTATTGAAAAGCATCGATATTTCTTCCACATTACGATATATATAATATGATCGTTCCACGTGGATGAAAAGTTCTATAATTTATTTGTAATCCGTCGGAGGTATATTTTTATATATAGATTGTGACAAATCGATCTATTTTACTGACTTACAAGTTACTTTTTTCTTTCTTGAATATGGCTAATACGTATATACGTGATTAGCTTCTTCTTTTTATCCAAATAATTAAATTGTTTGGTAAAACAAAATAAGATTAACGTGATCAAATTCAGCATAAACAATAGTACATCGATTAAACATTACAAAGTTTGTAACAGGCGATAAACACAAAACAAAATCTATTTAAACTTACAATATTTCAAAATTTGAAGTATGCGATCATTGGCTACTTGTTATGTTAACGAAAACGGACTCTTGATTGTCTTTAACGCTTGCCCTATCAGCTTCCTTTGGAATTTCGGCTACTAAACGTCGAAACTTTCTTTTTTATTACATTATTAAATAAAAATTAATCAGATATTTAATCAACTTTGCAAGCAAAAGAAAAGTCTCGATGAAGTTATTGGTTTTGAATGAAAAAAGTCGAAAAAAGTTGTTACTTTGGAAGATAAAAGTCAAGTAGAGTCATTGATAAAAGATGAAGAGACTTGTACAATCACAGAATCGTAAGCCCTGAAATAAATTAATCAATTATTAGCACTTAATAATTGATATTCAGAAATTAATATTATAAATTGGTTCTCGTTCCATTCCCTATACAATCTCGATTTTTTGTTATGTATGAGTTGCATTAGATTCATCACTTTTCTTTCACGTTCTAAAATTAGTTAAACAGTTTTAGTTCTTTAATTCCGTAATCATCGTATACTTTATAGTAGTAACTTTTCTCTTCTTTTTTTCATCGCTGCATCTTGGTACCTTTCTATTACCGAAGCAGGACCTCAAAATCGAGGGATTTAGATTTTTATACGGGTGTTTAAAGTCTTTATACCTGAAATGTAAAAGGACTTCTTTTGTAGAGACGAAGAAAGAGAGAGAATGAATGAATGTTGTAAATGGAGATTGGTCAATAGTTAAAGCTAAAACATGATGCATACGAAGTATAACACTATTTAGTGTTACACATAGTGTGAAATATAGAGATAGAATATTGGTGGCATCGGCGCATTATACCGTACAGTTTCAAATCCGATTAACCACTCGTAAATGAGAAAAGTCCAATTGAGTGCGAGACATCGAACAGTATGGTTGAGTAGCCCAGTAGAGAACGCTTTCTCGATCAACAGAAAACGGGGTCAATTAGTCATTACGACATACCGTTCGTTTCCTTCTTCATTATGTTTTGTCGATCATTACTAAAAAAATTATTATAGCCTTCGATCTCTAAGAACGAACGGACAAATAGTTGAAGTTTTTATTTTTTCACTTTTTCTTTTATTCCACCCCGAATTCTTAGAAATTACTCAACGTATTATCGCTTGTATATATAGTTAGCTATTAGTATTGTATTATCATTATCGACATTATTATTATTATTAATATCATATCTCTTTTTAAACACGTAAGTATTGGGTTGGCAATTAAGTGATTGCGGATTTTGTCGTTTCCTTCTTATTTGAAATCTAGCAATCACTTAGTTGCCAATCCAATACATTGTGTTTTAGCGCGCATGGTTTTTTTTCTATCCGTATTGTAGCTATTACATTAAACCTTCATCACGAGAGCAAAAGAATTATTATCTCCCGTGAGAAAAGTAATAATTTCCTTTCGATCTTTCTCTATCATTTTCTATATTAATCTTGTGCTCAATAAATTTTCTCTATTTCGTTTTCGTGTATATAGAGGATCCAAATTTTACTATGGCATGCACGTTGGTTTCGTTAGTAGAATTGGTGAATACACATACTCACGTTTTTTTCATCTCTGTATCATTAATCTATGTACACGTTTTATTGCAATTTGAAGATTTTTTTGTTTATTAGTCGATCGTGACCAATTGACACGAATGTTTGTTCTCTCGTGAAAAAAGTAATTGAACTTTATCCGCTTATATATTAAACTCTTAACATTGGAAATCATGTTTATTTTATTTATATTGTTTTCTTGTTCTTCAGCGCTGTACATTTCTCGTGCTTGTGGCGTAGAAGATTGTGGCTCGTAGACTTTCTTCACAATATCGTTTTAATGGAAAAGTATTCGTCGTTGTTCGTTGATAGATCGAATCGTGTCGATGTGCATTCAAAGGTGTAATCGACACAAAAAAGATCAGTTTCGGTCTTATAAGTAGATCGTGCCGTTGACGAATCGGTCTTCTAAGTAAATTAAATTATTTTGTTGATTAAGTGATCGCACTTGAAAATTTTTAGCAGCTTTCGCTAGCATCGGTCATAATTCTTTCCATTTCATTCTATTTTTATTTATTTTCTTTTTTCTTATGGAGAACTGGGAAATTTTCTAAAAGCTTTACTTACTATCGATTTTATATTATTGTAGCAATTATCGATGTTCGTAAAATTAATTTAATCATGCTTTAATGCGATTTAATCGATCATCATTATGTTATTGTTCATTCACGTCGAATCACATATGAGTCCGTTCGTTTTGCGAAGCAGTAATCGACCGGTTATGCGATAATGAACTTTATGAGCAATATCACTCGCGTCATTTACTGCTCATTTTCCTGTAATGAACGATTTTATTACGATTTTATACGAATAGAATTATGTAACTGTATTTACTGCATGCAAAAAGGTTTTCTCTCTTTACTTTTTCATTACAGTTGTACCTAATTTCGTCGATGAAGTAAAAAGTCGAGTCGACACATTATTACGTGACAAATATTAATAGATTCTTAAGATCGCAATGTGCTATCTGTTTTTACTATCTTTTTCTGTAAATTTTCTTCTTTCTCTTATTATTATTGATTCCTTCTATCTTTACAAATCTTACATAACATATATATATGTATATATATATATATATATATATATATATATATACATATATACATATATGTATATACATATGTGTATATATATAATATCTCTGATTGATTATGGGAGGTGATAAACGAAAATATGTTTCTCTGTGAACAAAGTGATAAATCTTTATTTGTTAATTAATGCTTAGTTCTGATTAGCCTTACCTGTAACAAAGAAACGACGATTAACGTTTATTATTCACACTGTTAAATTTTATTTCTTTTATCTTATGTATCTTCTTCTAGCTCTCGTGTTGCTTTTCTCTTCTATGTTATATTTCATACTGCCCGTTTCTCTTCCAAATCTTAACAACTCGATTTCAAAGTCACAAAAGAAATTGTAAATAGTAAAGGACAATGGAAGGGCGGGCTATGAGACGCGTGACAAATCTATCTGAAGAAAGTATACTTTCTTTACATATATATATATATATATATATATAATATATAAAAATATATACACATATATATACACACAGACATAGAATAAGCAAGATAGCGAGATAAGATTTCCTTTGAGAGAGAACAAGAGTGGAACTGAGAAGGAGAATGTGAGATAATATGGTAATAAAGGTACAAACAGTATACGAAGAGTGAGGTGAGAATGATAGAAAGAGAAAGAGAGAGTGTGAGAGAGATGTCTGAGATTTACAGGGCAGACGGCAAGACATTCAAATGTAAGAAGGAGAAAGAGAGAAAGAGAGAGATAGAAAACATTATAAAAGTAAATAAAAAAAATCGGTCATTAGAACGACGCACGAACGAAGAAACACGAGGCAGTAAAAAGATAATCTCTTTCTCTCTCTCTCTCTCTCTCTCTCTCTCTCTCTCTCTCTCTCTCTCTCTCACTCTCTCTCTCTCTTTCTGTGCGTTGTTTCTCCTTTAGACTTTTTTCCGAGCTCCTCCTCAGGCCCAAATAGAGCTTTTTATTATGACGCCTCTACTCACCTGAAACCACCTGCATCTTACACCTTATGCTACTGTTCCAGGTTGCTCTACCATCCACTACTGACACAAACCCCGTCTCCTTGGTAATTTTTACAAACCACTGCGTATCAGAAAGGGTGCCAATAGCACACCGGAGTTCTGTTTGAGTATGTGGGCATAGAAAAAGAATGCAGTTGAATGAAAAAAATACCATTCATTAATACGTTCGTGCGTTCATTACGAAATCATTTACAGTTAGTAACCACAATCGTCGAGTGAGCAGAGCCGGAACAGCCCAATCTTCTGCCGGTAAGCAGGCTGATTGGTTTAGCCACGATCAACATTCACAACGAATCACCACGGTGATACCAGCCGTGCCCACAGGAAACCACGTGGAGGCCTACTCACAGTATCACGATCCCTAACACACGTTCCGTAGGATAGGATGCGTTGTTGTGATAGAGGGTAATGTAGCGAGTATTGAGGTTTTGTGAAAAGAATAGAGAAAAAAAGGAAGAATAGAATAGGGAGATGCATATAAGCTCTTTCGATTCTATCCTGTTCAACCCTAATCTGAGAAGGTTACAGGCATCCACCTTCATCACCAGAACTCCGACAATTCCAGCTGAACAGAATTTATAAACTAATTACCCTTAATAAGGAGGGTTTCCTTGCAGATTACTTACAGAAAATTCTGTGCGAAATCTATTCAAATAAACATATTCCTCAAAGTTAATTGAAATTGCAAAACGTAAATAAAATTAAATAAACGTAAAAACGCAGTCAGCTTCACGATTTTTCTATTACTTTATTGAAACAAGAATTGACTCATCCATGGCTGCACGGACAACCACAATAAGATCTGATATAAAGCGAAAACAATATTACTAATATCATTATTATAATAAAGAAAACTACTTGAAAGTATATGTATACTAAGTAAATTAAAAAGGGTTACTTGAATTTTTATTAATAAAAACTAAATAAAATAAACTAAAACAGCACGAAATAAAAAGGAATTAATAATTGCGGTTTATTTAATAATGATAATTATTTATTAATTAGGAGAATAATTACTTTATTTAAATTTTTATATTTTAATATATATATATATATATATATATATATATATATTTATTATAAATATAATATATATATTTAATATATATATATATTAAAATTTTCATTAAATATCAAAAAATAAATAAATTTTTACTTTTAGTTTTTTTTTTACTTAATTTAAAATAAAAATATGATTTTTTTCATCAAAAAATTGATAATTTTTTTTTTAAATTTTATTCCCCTCCCTCTATATAATTTTTTTACCAAATAAAAATCTAACGCTTAAAAAATTTTAATTAATTATTTTATATATTATATCAAATTAAATTTATATACATTTTAATATATATATATATATATATATATATATATATATATATATATATATATATGTATATATAAATTAAATTTATTAATATATATTAATAACATTTATTAATTTATCAATAAATATTTATATAATTTAGATAATTATAATTTATAATTTATACCTATTTATACTTTATTTTTATATTACAATTAAATTTTTATAATTATATAATTATTTTTTTAAAAAAACTTATAAATATTTTTATTAAAATAATATTATCTATATTAATATACATTGAAAGATTATAATTTAGAATATAAAATAATTATTTATTATTTATATTATAATTAATAATAAATAAATAATGATTTATCATTTTTAATTAATATAATAATTACCTAATTACATTATTAAAGAGTATAAGAATAATTATTTTTACTTTATTTAAATTTTTCCATATTAATCGAGTATATGCTATAATATGTGACATATCTAAAATTATTTATTAATTAGGAGAATAATTACTTTATTTAAATTTTTATATTTTAAAAATAAATAAATTTTTCGATGGTATAATCAACAAGAAAATAATATTACTTATATATGTCCATTTGTATTGTATTTGTATTGTACCTTGATCATATTACTGGATAGTGAGAGAGAAGGCACCTTCCCTAATAGTCTACCATGCGAAACAAAACAACTTTCCTAAAAAATACCGAGCAAAATAGAAATTACCAAAAGAGGAATTTCTCACGGTCATCCTCGTGAATAACTTATTTAAAATATTACAAACAGTAATTTGTGCTGATTCAGACCTTTCATTTTCGGCATGATTGAATACTGAAGGTATTTTTAATTCGTTCGATTTCTGCTACATCAAGTTCTACATTAGCTCTAAAACATTTGTCCGCGAAATAAGTCAAAATTGAAGAGCTATGATCCATAGGATGTCCAAAACAATGTAGTTGGCTATATAAGTAATTTGAAAATAAAGGTACACATCGTCATTGTAGATCGATAAGGCATAATCGTAATAGTGATTAGTAAAAAGACAAACAAATTTTTATTAAATCTACATTAATAAAAAAATTGTGAAATTCTTAAGTATGAAATTAAAAAATTTATTTACCAATATGCTCTTATAGAAGAAAACGTATTTAATTTTCGTTCATTATCATTGATGCACTAACTCTAATACACGAATACTGTGACAATATAAAAAGAAAAATACTTTTAAACTTTATAGAAACAAATCATAACTCAATGATTGATTGCTTTAAGTTGATTTAAGTGCATATGATACTAAAACTTAAATTGCAAAACGTGGACGAAATTAAAGCAACGAACGAAGAATCTTTCCAGTTCATGATTATTATATTAATTATATGGTACAACACTCGATTCATTATTACCCGCATGATTGCATTGATTATCTGAAAAAAGAAAGAAAAACAAAGTTATTAGTATGATCTTTACAATGAAAGTTTTTTTGAATTATGAAGGAAATATTTAAAAAAGAAATTCACTTATTGTAGGCTTTGTTGATCCTTTGCACGATGAGCATTCTGCCTCAAAACGATGGCAAATGATTCTTCTTTTATTGAATCTAAAAAAAAGGAAACGAAATTGTTAGTATCATTGTTATATAATAAAAAATTATTAAAATTATTAAAGAAAAGTTTAAAAATAAATTTTCTTACCGGAGTATTCATTGATCGTTTGTACGATGAGCTTTTTGCACCAGGATCATGAAGAATATGTACTAGCATAAACACTACATCGCTTATTTATATTGAATCTAATTTTATTTAATCAGATTATTTTAAGATATAAAAATAAATTAAACGTATTACGAATAAACACTGCGTCTACTTCATATATATTTGAAATTTATTATATATACAAGTATAAACATAAGTATATATGAATATTGAATGTAATAGTGAATTAATCAGTTTGCATAACTTTGTGGTATTTTATTGCAACAGAACTTCGTCGTCTCCTTAATTATAGGTAATTAGAAAATTTTTTCTAACCCTTATTTTACACTTTCCAAGCCATATAACAACGTCTTCTACAAATGGAAACGTGATGAAATAGTCACTAAACGTTTAAAATTAAGTTAGCTTAACCTTTTATTTAATGCTTATTTAAAAAATAGATTAATAGATGCGTTTGATCGTATAATTTTTTCAAGTGATATGCTTTCGTCATGTATAACAAAAATGTTAAGTTAATACCAACTTACAGAAAATCATTTGCATAACCATACTATCTACATATATATATCATAAAATGATACTTTAATCATAATGTGTTTGTTGCGAATTATTCGAAATCAATAACACACTATTTTCTTATTAACTGTAAGGTAAATGTTCTTTTTTAAAGTATTATAAATAACTTTAGTAAAAAAATTATATTTGACGTTACTATTTATTTTTTTTCTACCAGTCATTTTCTTTGTATATTATTGCTAATATTGATTCTCATTAAAGATAATAAATATAAAAATCGTAGGTCGTTTTTTTTCAGGGAATCGTTTCTAAATAATTCAACCAAAGGAAAGAATAATGTCGTCGTTGAATTTCAAAAAGATTTCAACTCCACGTTTAGGTTATCTATTAAACAGGAATACATGAGGCAAAAGATTCTATCGAGCATTTACAAAGTTGGTTAAAAGACAACATAAACAGGTGCAGTTAATATATTAAAGGTAAATATGAAAGAAGCAATTAAACGAAGTAATCAGGCAACAAAAAATAGTGATAGGCCGTAATCACAATGGAAATACTGTTTGGAATATTTATATCCACAGTTATTGATTTCTTTGTCAGTAAGTATGAAAGCATTGATAAGAAATATTTATAGCTATAGGTTGATTTAGCCTTCAAGCTACTTGAGACGTAAAATTTGTTCGTATTGAAGTAAATCAATTTCACATAATAAAATTTTCTTCCTTTAACTGTTTATACAAATGATGTGGCAAAAAATACTCTTACTGGATTATAGGAACAAATACAGATATAAAATTTATATATCGACCGACAGATATTTACCTAAATTTATTATGTAACATAAACTTAGTTAATTGCGTGAAGGTACTGTTTTACAGGACCCATGCCATTGTTTCTATCACCTGTGCATAGATCCATCATTACATATTGTCATGTCACTACATTCATTATATTACTTATTTGTAGAGTACTCTGATCATACCAATGTTAAATATTTGGATCCCAAAAAGACACCATAATACAAAAATGTATTGACAAAAATAGTATAAAGTAAAGGAAATGTTTCTACAAGGAATATTTTGGGAATGCTTCTGTGACCATCATTTGTGTTGAGACGCATATATATCGCACAAGTATGTACATACTATATATTTCTAATAGAGATAGAGGATAGTTTCTTCTTTATGCTCTTGAATCATTACCAAATTTAAATGTTGCAGACATTTTTTACTTTTGCTTATATTCACGCACTTTCTTATATTATAAAATGAGTTGCAGTGAAATCAAAATGTATTCAAATCTATCATTGCGCAAGGTGGTACACTCTTCGAGAAACAGAAGCATTTTTTAAAGTAGTTGAATATACATCTGTCTTATGAAAATTTAGCACTTGTTATAGGTTTCTTCTATCAGGTGCAAATTTATTTTGAATTGATATTTTGCTTTGTACATTGTACTTTGTTGGTCATTTCATGTCCATTGAGCAATTCTTCATCCGGCACTCTTACGGCATTTTTGATGCCAACATAGGTAGTTCAAAGGTTCTCTCTCTAGTATTTTATTATTCTTACTTACAAAATTTTATATAAGTTGTTAATAATCATATGTGAATTTTATCTTATAGTACTTATATATGCTACCATTGCCAATGATGATGGGAGAAAAGACATTAATACATTAGGAAAACTCTTAAAAGAACTGAAGAAAGCATTATCTACAGTCAAGGACGTGAATTATTTAGAAAACGAATTAAAATAGAAAATCCAAAACAATAAATAATAGGTAATTGTATAAACTCGTTACAAATAAGAGATAGATGTCAAAAAATGAAACAGATTAAGTAAACTATCTGGAAATATAACATTTTAGAGAAAGAATCGAATCTTAACAGCAAAATCATGGAGAAAGAACAATGAGTTAAAGGATCATTCACAAGACATTTTTCTTCAGAGATAGCTTCTCATGTTGTATTGCAAAAAAAAAAAAAAAATAGAAAATTTTCAATATTTAGAAGATCATCCTCAAATTGTCGAACATGAATTGCACAAGTAAAAATTAATGCGCAAAAATTACATGAGCATAATGTAATCCTTTGATGCATAAGTATATTTTGAAAAAGAGGTAGAAGAATACTGTGAATTTCACAGTCATTTTGACAAGACGTTGAAAAGGAACCGCAAGAAAACAAAATATGGAAATGGAATAAAAGATTCAGACCAAATAATCTGGATTTAGACCATCAAAGAAAAGAGCCTTCAATAATACGGAACAAGCAACAAGGATGTTATACAAAAGCGAGCCTCTTGTGATAGTCAAATTTAGCATCAACTAATGATACGACAGCTTACAGACTGCAACAAAGTATTCTAAGATTTACACATCAACGATGAAGTAAGAAGTAACGTTTTATATCAAAAGTTGAGCTCGGAATTGCGATAAATAGAAACACTGAATAAAATAAACACACATTTCAGATAATCGAAAAGATGAAAATATTTAATATATGTACTCTAATATTCGATAACCGCTCTGACGAAATAATGATGGAAAGCAAAACGGTACCATGAAAAAGGATATTAAACAGCAACAACATAGTAATAACACGAATACATTCTGTTAAAATCACTTGTCAGCTGACAAATGATTTTTAATAGTAACGGTTATTGAAATAATAATCAAAAAAATGAAAGGTACTCAATATTCACTTTTAGATTGCAATTAACAAGTAGGTAATAAACTTTAATACGAATTTTAAATAAGTTAAACATTTGATAAAACTCACATCAGAAGATTCAAAGAACTGAAAATTTCTGATAGTTTTATAGACTACCATCAAAAAATGTTTAGAATTGTTTTCTTTAGGGTCAATTATGTCAATTATGCTGAATGGTGGACTTATATTTATTTATATTCAAAATTTTATAAAGCGCTCTTTTGATCATTCAAAAAAGGAATTGTGAAAGAAAAATAAAGTACGAATGAATGTTATAAATTCACCCACAACTTCGACAAGATTCTTCTCTTATAAATGGGTTTCAATATATTATATATATTCAATTGATATATATATATATATATATATATATATTACGCACACACAACATACATATATATATGTAAAGAAAGTATACTTTCTTCAGGTAGATTTGCCGCGCGTTCTCATGGCCCGCCCTTCCATTGTCTTTTGTTAATCACAAATTCTTTTCTTACCTACAAATCGAGTCGTTAAGATTTGGAAGAGAAATGGGCAATAGGAAATAGAACTTAGACGAGAAAAGTAGCACGAGAGTGTATAAAGAAATTTATAAAAGATAATATATTAAATAAAATTTAAGTAGTTTGAATAATAAACGTAAATTGTCGCTTCTTTGTTCACAGATAAGATTGTAAATAACAAATAAGTTTTAATTAACAAATAAAGATTTATTCCTTTGTTCACAGAGAAACATATTTTCGTTTATCACCACACATAATCAATCCGAGATATATATATATATATATATATATATATATATATATATATATATATTCAGTAAAATGTTAATTTATGCAGTCAATTTAATATTTCTATAATGTCTAACATCGGAAACAATGTAATGTTCATATCCGACGCACTTCCTGCAATTTTATCGGATTAATGCTAAAATATTACATCCGAAATATTCGAATAGTTCACAAAAATTTTTCTTCCCTCGATATTATACAACATTGACACCGTTAGTCGAATGGATCTTTAAATTGTTTCAACTATTGTATAAGCGAACGTCGCTAGAATTAATACCTTACATTTGCTAATTTTGTTATAACGTGTGTCTATCAATAAAACATCTATCGCTTATATGACATCATATATAAAGAAACTTTAGAACTTTTACTTGGTAGAGCTGATAAAATTAGCTTAAACTAATTGAAAATTCGATTGCTCATAGCATTATCTTTCTACATGTTAGAATTAACTATAGAAATAGATGTAACAGTTATACCCAGCAGTGCCACTATACAATTTCAGAATTTATCCAGTAACTTATTATGTTAATAGTTATCCATTAATCTATTAAGCCAAAAAATGTAGAATATCATAGTAAGAGAAATATGAATTACCGACAAGAATTCAATATAGCAATCTTTACTATAGTTTACAATTGCAAGTGTAAACTAAATGTTGACGTCATATATATCAATGGAGCAATCAGAAATATCCGGATGACTCACAGCGGACGCGAACATGACTGAAAGGATGACCCTGGTGACTACTGGTTCGGTGTAGTAGGGACAGACTTTCGAACCTATTCGTCGTTGGCATGATTGAAAGATCGAAGAAATTGAAAAATTCACCTATCGCTTAGAAAAATTCTGCGATGGTCGTCTAACACGCCTTCTTCACAGCTACTACGGCAGTGACGCGAATAATGAACTCCATGATATTTCTTTTTATAAAGAAACAAGTAAGCAAAAAAGAAAATACGCGCAGAGCTCACTTTGATTTCAATTATGTTGATCTTTGCATAATGAAAATAATGTGCCGGAATAACGAACTCTTAGAATACAACAGAATAATGCCTCATTTGCTTTTAGATGAAAACAAACACAAAAGCAATAATATCATCATTACAATAAAAAATTATGAAAATTATTTAAGAAATATTTAAAAGAACATATTATCTATCACGTAAACCATCTTCTGACAGAAAAATGACTATTATAAGTAATTTGCTCATATGAGCTATTGTATTTATATTATTAAATACATTACAAGTCTTGAAAAACATCCCTGAAAGTAGCACATTAAAAAGAATAGTATTCGAAAGTATTAATCATAGATAATATATTATATTTTTCATTTAATCAAATAAATAAAAAGTAAATAATAATTTTGTAATATTCCAAAGTATGCTATCATCGAGACATCATTATATTTTCATTCCATAAAATTGATTATTACACGAAAATGAACAGTAAATCTCATATCAAATCAAAAAATGAGCGAGTGATATTGCACATAAAGTTTATTTTTACATAATTGGTCGATTATTATTCTGCAAAACAAACAGACTTGAATGAACAATAACTTTCACAACAATTTACTTCTTATTTTTCACTGCTTTACATAACTCATGTGTCTCTCTCACACTCTCTCCATCTGTATCTATTTAATCGATCTAATGATGATCGATTAAATCGCATTAAAGCATGATTAAATTAATTTTACGAACATCGATAATTGCTACAATAATATAAAATCGATAGTAAGTAAAGCTTTTAGAAAATTTCCCAATTCTCCATAAGAAAAAAGAAAATAAATCAAAATAGAATGAAATGGAAAAAATTGTGACCGCACTAAAACACAATGTATTGGATTGGCAACTAAGTGATTGCTAGATTTCAAATAAGAAGGAAACGACAAAATCCGCAATCACTTAATTGCCAACCCAATACTTACGTGTTTAAAAAGAGATATGATATTAATAATAATAATAATGTCGATAATGATAATACAATACTAATAGCTAACTATATATACAAGCGATAATACGTTGAGTAATTTCTAAGAATTCGGGGTGGAATAAAAGAAAAAGTGAAAAAATAAAAACTTCAACTATTTGTCCGTTCGTTCTTAGAGATCGAAGGCTATAATAATTTTTTTAGTAATGATCGACAAAACATAATGAAGAAGGAAACGAACGGTATGTCGTAATGACTAATTGACCCCGTTTTCTGTTGATCGAGAAAGCGTTCTCTACTGGGCTACTCAACCATACTGTTCGATGTCTCGCACTCAATTGGACTTTTCTCATTTACGAGTGGTTAATCGGATTTGAAACTGTACGGTATAATGCGCCGATGCCACCAATATTCTATCTCTATATTTCACACTATGTGTAACACTAAATAGTGTTATACTTCGTATGCATCATGTTTTAGCTTTAACTATTGACCAATCTCCATCTACAACATTCATTCATTCTCTCTCTTTCTTCGTCTCTACAAAAGAAGTCCTTTTACATTTCAGGTATAAAGACTTTAAACACCCGTATAAAAATCTAAATCCCTCGATTTTGAGGTCCTGCTTCGGTAATAGAAAGGTACCAAGATGCAGCGATGAAAAAAAGAAGAGAAAAGTTACTACTATAAAGTATACGATGATTACGGAATTAAAGAACTAAAACTGTTTAACTAATTTTAGAACGTGAAAGAAAAGTGATGAATCTAATGCAACTCATACATAACAAAAAATCGAGATTGTATAGGGAATGGAACGAGAACCAATTTATAATATTAATTTCTGAATATCAATTATTAAGTGCTAATAATTGATTAATTTATTTCAGGGCTTACGATTCTGTGATTGTACAAGTCTCTTCATCTTTTATCAATGACTCTACTTGACTTTTATCTTCCAAAGTAACAACTTTTTTCGACTTTTTTCATTCAAAACCAATAACTTCATCGAGACTTTTCTTTTGCTTGCAAAGTTGATTAAATATCTGATTAATTTTTATTTAATAATGTAATAAAAAAGAAAGTTTCGACGTTTAGTAGCCGAAATTCCAAAGGAAGCTGATAGGGCAAGCGTTAAAGACAATCAAGAGTCCGTTTTCGTTAACATAACAAGTAGCCAATGATCGCATACTTCAAATTTTGAAATATTGTAAGTTTAAATAGATTTTGTTTTGTGTTTATCGCCTGTTACAAACTTTGTAATGTTTAATCGATGTACTATTGTTTATGCTGAATTTGATCACGTTAATCTTATTTTGTTTTACCAAACAATTTAATTATGTGGATAAAAAGAAGAAGCTAATCACGTATATACGTATTAGCCATATTCAAGAAAGAAAAAAGTAAATTGTAAGTCAGTAAAATAGATCGATTTGTCACAATCTATATATAAAAATATACCTCTGACGGATTACAAATAAATTATAGAACTTTTCATCCACGTGGAACGATC